TGAGTCCTTAACCATCTTCAAGAAACGACTAAAAACACATCTGTTCCACCTTTATTTGACCCTCTAACTCTAACACTTTCTATTCTATTTAGTTTTTTTTAAACAAAAAACAAACAAACACTAGCTTTCTATTTTTTATATTCTATCTACTTGTTTTTCTTTGTGTGTGTGTGTGTATATATATATATATATATATATATATATACACCTTGCTATGTGTACTGTGTTAGGCTAACCGAGACTTGTCATTTGCACTTATATATGGTTGCTCTTTTGTTAGTTTTAACTGCTTTTATTGTCCTCATTTGTAAGTCGCTTTGGATAAAAGCGTCTGCTAAATGACTAAATGTAAATGTAATTTATCTGTTGATATAATGATTATTCAAGATTAAAGGGAAACCACAAGTCCACAATAGAAAAGCTCTTAATCTTCATATTTGTCATAACTCAAATTGTAAACCAAGCAGTACGACATAATTTACAATTAATTACTTGACCTGAACGCAAATAGGCCTACCTGGAAAATGGAAAAAAACGCCTCAAGGCTAGAAAAATAAGGCAGGCTGATTCTAGATCCTCCAGAGGGCGCTTAGGGGCTGCAGTTGATAGTTAATTTAAACCCTAATCAGTTTGAATCATGTGGTTAATGGAGCCTTTTGATTGCAATTGACAAAGCAGTGAAGCAAAGAAAGTGCCTCTGGATTTTTAATTAGATTTGAAACTACTTTAAAGAAAACATCTTGGGCTTTAAAGATGCTTTAAAAATGTATGGTTGGGAATCCACACCATTTTGAAATGCATTTTTATTTTCATATTTTAAAGCATTTAACATGTCTAAAAAGGCATGTTTGATTTGTGCCTTGCTTGCTGTAGGCTATATTCACTTAGCAGAAAGACACCAGCTTTTGCTTTGCTGAATGCACAAACATTTCTGTAACCAAATTTGTATTGGATTCTTTAAAGCTGCACTAGGTACTTTTGCTTATTATAAATAAACTTATGTACACAAACAAATTAATAGCATTTTTGAAAAGAAAAAAAAGCATTGTAATAATGTGCAATCTAGACGTCTCTCTTAAACAAAAATATATTTTATTCTACATGGAGCGGGTTGCACCCCTCATAGGCTCCACATCGTTGATGTCACGACCAGCTGAGAGGCTGCTGCAACTACTATTACATTTATTATAGGGTCTTATTACCATATTTGTATGAACGCACCTGTCTAACATATAAAGAAATAAACAAAATAATATAACAAAGACAAAAGATTATTAAATTTTTTAATTTTTAAACTGTGTCATAAATCAACATCTCAGGAACATGGGGTTTCAAATCAAAATATGACTTTCTGTTACGAAACAGGATGTTGATTTCATGCATGTCCTCATATGAGGACACCGGGACTAAAAGCATGTTTATTACACATTTTGGGAGACACAACAAATGAATAGGGAAAGAAATTATGTTTCAATATTCCTATGAAATATTATATATTATTATGAAAATCTTGTCAATTATTACTCCCATTATTACACTTCTTTTTTCATTACATGTTGCCCCAAAAACACATTAATATGCAAATTAGATTTAGCTTATAGATACATTATATATAATGAGAAAAAATGTGTATGGCCATTTTACACACATTTTGCATTTAAAAAATGGCATATCAAATCATTCTGTTATAACATAGTTGAGAATTATCTTTATTCAAAGTTTGGTAAAAAAAAAAAAAATCCTGAAAAATAAAAATGTATTGTTTTTGCCTATGCATGTTCATTCATGCCTTTTTTTATTACTATTATTATTATTGAGTCCCGATATAATCTACCAAGGACGTATAGCATAACTTATTAATTAAATATCATTTTTAATTTTTTTTAATGCTCTAAATGTAATGACATGAAAAAAAAGAAAAAAAAATTCCTAAAATGTTTTGCAGGGTCTCAAGAGGTTAATTATGAACACACTGGTTTGTTTTTCCGTTTACTGCACGTTGTTATTCTTCTCGTTATTTCCCTACAGCGGCTAATGACCGGAAGTCTCGCACACATTCACAGAAAACGTCTCAGGTTACTTATGTAACCATGGTTCCCTGAGTAGGGAACGAGACACTGCGTCCTCTAGGGGTCGCTATGGGGGACGCCTCGTCGTGACCCGTGTCTGAAGCATACATTGAAAAACACCAACTCGTTGGCCGGCGACAGCCATGACGTCACTACCGGTGCGACTATAGTATAAATAGGCGCCAGGAGCTACACATCATTCACTTCTTTGTCTGAAGCTTGTGTCCGCAGCATGGTAAGAAACCTAGAGGACGCAGTGTCTCGTTTCCTACTCAGGGAACCATGGTTACATAAGTAACCTGAGACGTTCCCTTTCATGGGAACTTCGAACTGCGTCCTCTAGGGGTCGCTATGGGGAACGGTATACCCACGCCACCATGCTGAGGGGAGTGCAAGCCAGAACCATGCGAGCACTAAGTACCCTTACAGGGGAATTTAGGAAGGTGAAGATAAGGGCAGATGTAGATACTGAGGTATCACTATGATCCAGACAAAAGCACTGACGCCCTGTCTGGATCACATCCCTTAGAAGTTCCCATGAAAGGGAACGGCATACTTCTGCGTTGGAAAAAAAGGGTGGATAGGTTCTAAAACCACTGGTACTGTTGAAACGAATTAAAAATGTACAACGCACTCAAGCCTTTTGTTAACTGATTTACTCGACTGTAGGCTACATATATAAAATACAATAGGATAACAACTATTACAAACCAGTCTGGAAGTATTTCAATCAGAGTTGCTTCAAGATAAAAATTCCCTCAGTTGTTCTTTTCTTTTATTGTAGGCTACTGTTCAACGGTTGTCTGGTGGCTCTTCTTTTACAGCTTCTCTCCATTCATTCAAGTGCCATGCTGGCATCCTCTAAATTCAAACGGAGAAAGAATGAGGCTTGGCTGCCATGTGAGAGGCATTAAATGTGGACAGACCAATATGGCATCAATCCACTGGAAGACCAGAGACGACTTGTAAACTCAACTGGAGTCACAACTTAATACTCAAGTTAGATAACATAGGTAGACATTAACTGTCATAAAATATCTCATGTAGCCTACCAGAGAAACTATACATTTTATTTGCCAATAATTATAAGTCACTATTAGTTTGTTAATGTTACCTGCTCGTTTTGGGGTTACACTGTGAGAGGCAGTGCATCAGGAAGCACCAATAAAATCGTCTCAGCACAGGAGGACAATACCAGCCAAATACACACACGCCCACTGCCCACCACTGCACACTGGACAGAGAGATGGTACACATAAAGAACCAGTGCATCTTCAAACATGTGTTATGTCTGAGTTCTTATTTGTGTAGAGAGGTAAATGGACACGAGCAAAGATGAACCAGTTTGGATTAATGCATCTCTGTATATTTCTCATGCATGCGACGGTGAGTATTTTTTTGTACAAATAAATGTTTTTAATGTTTTTGTGAAAGACTTTTGTGACAGCGCTCAAGATTTGAACAGTTTCCCTAATATCATGACATGCTTGATTAAAAAAAAATTTGTGTGCATCTTCATTCAGTATGCAATATTAATTACACATTTTAAATATATAATACAAATATTTAATATTTAATTAAATATATATGAATAATCATATATATGTTTATATGATTCATGTAGCCTATTTATATTACTTATATTTATCTTTATTACATATTTAATATAAATAATTATAATTTAATGCATTTAAATGTGTGTGTGTGTGTATATATATTATAATTAATTGCAATGTAAATATAAATAAACAAGTACTTGATGTATTGTAAGCTGACCAATACAAGAAATCGATAAACACCTTTTTTATTTAAAAATAAATGGTAATGAAGTGAAAGTTTATGGTGCGTTTAGCTGAACAGGATTAGAACATTCCGATTTATTCCCCGAGCCTCTCTGTGGATACCAGATTGTCCAGATCTAAGTTGACATTTTAGAGCTTAACAAAAGCAGGTACCTGGGGAACCCAAATAAAGACACATATTCAGGTTGGCGTGGGATACTGTGGTAAGGAGAGCTTTCAAAGCACAGACCTTACACAAATCAAGGTGTACTGTTGCCGCTTTTAGAAAAGGTCACTCACAAAAGAGCCCTTTCCTGCACGTCATGTGGGATTTAATGGCTGAAACTGCTCCATATTTCTTGCCCCACACCTTTGCGATGATATGCTATGATCTAATTTAATTTATAAGTAAAGATTTTCTTCTTTTGTTCACACAGATTTTCTTCTATGGTGTTTGCTCTAATAGTTCACCATGGACACAGTGGGATAATAGTAATGAAAAGAAGTGGTTCAACATCTCAGCTCTGCCATCTACAAGCAAATCAGGCTTAGCTCCACTTCATAGTAGAAGGTTTACACAATTATCCTTTTCCAAATCTGTATTTTCATTTGAAGTGAGGGAAGACACACCACCTGGTGAGCATTGCTTTTTTTATATTATATTATTTCTGTGTTGTCTAAACTTTCTTGTGGGCACTTTGTTGGATTAAAGCATTTGCTAAAATACTTCAATTCAGCCTTGTCTGTCGCCTTCATAGGGACAATTGTGGGACATGTGGAGGCAGTATATAGTGAGGAGAATGAAACCTCAGTGTACTCTGTTCAGGAGGATGATGGTGATGGTCTTTTCCTTCTCAATCCACATTCTGGCGAATTCCTCCTGTCCCGTGCTCTGGATTTTGAGATGGAGCGCTACTATATCCTGACTGCAGCAGCTCAGCAGGGGGACAGTGAACTCACCAGGGTCAGAGTGTACTTCAGTGTGATTGATGTCAATGACAACCCACCAGTGTTCAGCCAGAATGCCTTTTCGGCCTCCATACCAGAAGACTCACCTGTTGGAATGTGCTTTCTAAATCTCAATGTTTCAGATCCAGATGAGGGTAACATTGAACTACATACACTCCCATTTTTAAAAAGAAAATAATACTTTTATTCAGTAAGGATACATTAAACTGATCAAAAGTGATAGTAAAGACATTTATAATGTAACAAACTATTTTTATTTCAAATAAAAACAGATTTTTTAACCTTTGTAGTCACGAAAGAATGCTGGAAAAAAGTATCATGGTTTCTGAAAACGTAGCTTTGCCATAATAGAAATAAATTAAATTTTAAAATATCTTAAAATAGAAAGCAATTATTTTAAATTGTAATAATTTAAGCACAAAATCTTAGCCTAAACTGTTGAACTGTAGAGTATGTGATCATGTGTTCATCTTGTATCTTCTTGTTTAAGCCTGGTTTTTGAAAATATTGTTCCCTTTCGTGGAACTTCGAACTGCGTCCTCTAGGGGTCGCTATGGGGAACCCCTCGTCGTGACCCGTGTCTGAAGCCTACATTGAAAAAACACCAACTTGTTTGGCCGGCGACAGCCATGACGTCACTACCGTCGCAACTAGTACAAAATAGGCGCCGGTAGCGCACATCACCACTTTCTTCGTCTTCACTGACCGTTCTGTTTGAAGCGTGCATTCCAAAAGCAAAGTAAGAGTATTTATTTTCCTACTATGGCGAGCACTAGCGGAGACTAGTTGCGACGGTAGTGACGTCATGGCTGTCGCCGGCCAAACAAGTTGGTGTTTTTTCAATGTAGGCTTCAGACACGGGTCACGACGAGGCGTTCCCCATAGCGACCCCTAGAGGACGCAGTGTCTCGTTCCCCTCAGGGAACCATGGTTACATAAGTAACCCGAGACGTTTTCTTTGTTTTTGGTTTGTACAACTCCTTACCCAAATTGAGACACATTAAAGCAAAACGAGGATGCGTAAGAACACGTAAGTCCATTCAACACAGAATTAGCACAATGGGTGGTACAGGTCATAGTTTTTATTTGCCTTCAAGCACAAAACCTCCAAGTTCACACTTTTGAAAAGCTTTGGGAAATGCAGAACTGGCTGAAGTGGTCTCATTAAATCTTACGTCATTTCTTCTTTGTTCTCCTTCAGTCTCTGGATGATGAATAGGGTTTTCTCTCTTGGGGATGCTGGTTACTGCTAATAATGGAGAACCCCTGTCTCAGCTTCTCTTATTTCAGGTTCAGGATAAAGCATATTATGTGTTCCACAGTGAAATTCACAGTTCCTTTTGACCCATTTGGGGAAGTTTTTGTTGAGGTTGTTCAGGATTACACACAAGCCTAGCAACAAGAGTGACCAAGATTATAGAGATTTGTTTTGTTCTGTACATTTGTTTTGGAAATATGTTGTCTAGAGATGTTATACCAAACAATTACTTTCAGCCTCAGGGATTAACTTTTATGTTGCTTTCGGATTTGTAACTAGCCTTTTACTAAATTGCCAAGCTTTTTGCATGTAAATCTGGCAATATTAATATCACTTTTGCCATCATCTAACACAAGTTAATCTTTAAAAACACTCATAATAATTCAATAATACTGTTAAATGTAATCTTTATCAAATCTTAAAATTAATATCCATTTTTCATACTGGATGTTATAATGCTGTGATGCCTATATTCACATGTAGCACTTTATATTTTAGTGTTTTATTATAAGTTATTTAGACAAAATAGTATAGAATTTTAATATTAGCCATTTATCTGTAATCATGCCACAACTTGAACATAATTATAAATGTATTCGTATCAGGCAGAATTTTAATCAGTGCATCATCCGTAGTTTATTCTGTACATATTTAGTGGATTATTATTCAAATTTCTTTTTTATCCTTCCCTTATAGAATTCTCATCACTGATAGGAGCAGACTTTATAGCAAAACGGTTGATTTAAGCCTCAGGGATTTAAGTTTATTTCATACAATTGGCCTACATTATAGCCTTTTTCTAAAATACTGAGTTATTGTTGATTTATATTTAAATATGGTGATTACTAATATCACCTGCTCAGTCATTGCATTATAAGTGTGTTTTATGTTTGCTAGTGTAATTCAGGTGCTCTTTTTCTTGCATCTGATAGGTATATATGGAGAAGTGGATGAGTTGATGGTGACATCTGGAAATCTTGAGAGCAAGTTCTCTATAAACCAGCATCAAGCTCTATGTCTAAGAGGGGAGTTAGACAGAGAGACAAACGCAATGTATAGCCTCATTGTCCAGGCCAATGATCGTGCTCTACCAACAGAGGCTCGACTTACAACCTCAGTGCATGTCACCGTCTATCTTCTGGATGTCAATGACAACTCCCCTCTCATCACGACCCCCAGTACTGTTAGTTTTCCAGAGAACACACCTCTTCATTCTGTCGTTACGGTTATACAGGCCACAGATGCTGATGCTGGATCCAATAATGAAGTTGTTTTCAGTTTTGAGAGTGCAGAAGAAGAACCGTTTAGTATAAATAGTTCGACTGGGGTTGTGTATCTGCGGAAGCCGCTGGACAGAGAAAGCAAGGATGTTCTCACAGTCACATTGAACGTCAAAGATAAAGGTGTTCCTTCGTTGCTCAGCTCAATGAACCTCACAGTGCTTATTGAGGATGTTAACGATCACAATCCAGAGTTCACTCAAAGCTCCTACAGTCTTTCAGTTTATGAGAATGTACCTCGTGGAACAAGCCTGCTCAGAGTTAACGCAAGTGATCAAGATATTGGGTCAAATGGGCAGGTGCGGTTCTCTGTCTCAGAGAATGAGTTCATGGTAGACTCTGTTCTAGGTGTGGTCTTGGTGATAGACAAGATGGACCATGAGAAGAAGCCTTTCTACAGCTTTTTTGTCACAGCAGAAGACCAGGGAGCTATTCAAAGGTCCACCACAGCAACCATTAACATCACAGTCCTGGACGTTAATGACTGTGTTCCTCTTTTTTCATCCGAATCACTGACATTACATGTCTTTGAAAATGGGGAAGACTCTTCTCAGCACTCCCATCAGGTACGTAATATGAAATGGACTTTTGATTTAGATAACTCACTTCAGTTGAATCTGAATCTGTTTTCGTCTTTAAATTTTAGTATATTGTTCAGTGATTCATGAAGATGTGAAATATGTCTTTTGTAGATACATGCCTCTGATGAAGACTCTAATGAAGTTAACGGTCAGCTGACATATTTTATAGAATCTGGAAATGATGAGAGTCTCTTCTCACTTCATCCCAATGGAACGTTCCAAATCTTAGAAGATCTTGATAGGGAACTGAAAAGCCAATACATGTTAAAAGTTATTGCTGTTGATTCAGGTAATCATTTGTCTTCTTTACCCCAATGTCTCATGAGAAATAAGCACTTAATTTGTTAGTTTATAGGTTAGTTTGCTATTCTAGGGATGCAATAATCTTACAATGAATATTTTCATACTGTACATACTGTACTGATGCCTACATTTACTTGTAGCATTTAAAACAATTAATTTGATGTTTTTAGAGTTTTATTTAAATTTAAATATCATATCTAATTTTAACATCTGCCATATACCGGTTATCAACCTTAACAGGAAAATAATTATTGATTTATTGGTGTCTGTGATTTTTAATCTGTGCATGCCAAATTTAAGTACATATTCAGAGAATTTTTCTAATTTCTTTGTCCATTCTTTTTAGGATTTCCATCATTGACAGGCACAGGCACCTTGGTTATTGTTGTTGATGATGTCAATGACAACATTCCGATTTTTGATAGTGAGTCGTTCAGTACTCACATATTGGAGGATTCTCCTGTTGGGACTGTTTTTCTGAGAGTTACAGCATCAGACATAGATGATAGTACAAATGGACAGCTAAGGTAATTTGATAATTACACTATAATGTGGTCATAATGTTAACATTTTCAGTAAAATCCCTTTCACACTCGTTTTTGTCTTATATGAGCTAGTGTTATTTTAGTATTATTTATAATTTAATTAATTATAATAATTTATGCATTTAGCAGACGCTTTTATCCAAAGCGACTTACAGTGCATTCAGGCTATACATTTTTTACCAGTATGTAAATGTATTTATTTATATTTAGAATATATATAAGTTTTAAATTGTTGTCTAATATTTATATTTTATTTTATTTCAATTACCAAAAGCAATTATTGATATTTTTTAACAACAACAATACTGATATTAGCCTGTGTAATATAATATAAATATTTTACTTATATTTCACTTGCAGATATTCTTTAGATAGCCTAGATATTCCTTTTTCTATCAATGAAACATCGGGAGATTTATTCACCGTAAGTGCCTTAGACAGAGAGACAGCAGCTTTTTACAAATTTTTGGTGACTGTCACTGATGGACATCCCACGAAGCCTCTTTCCAGTTCAGTTGTTGTTTCAGTAACAGTTGAGGATGTGAATGATCACTTACCGTCCTTTCTTTATGGACCATATGTGGCTAATGTTCCTGCTGGGATAACCAAAGGTGAATATACACTATTGTGATTACTTCAGTAGTAGTTATCTAGTGTTTTTAGACCATTGTCTTTTAGATTCAAACAAACTCCTGTTTCCTGTATTTTACAGGATCAGTTGTCTGCGCAGTGATGGCAGAGGATGCAGATGCTGGATTGAACGCAAAACTAAATTTTTCTCTGCATGGCCAACATGCTTATCTCTTCTCCATTAACTCTCGCACAGGAACAGTGTTCACTACAGATTCTGTGAAGAAAATAAATGATATCACAGTTGAAGTTCATGTGCAGGATGGAGCAGATCTGCCAAAAATGGACACAACAACTTTGACTGTCAGATTCCAGAATGATACATACTTTCCTCATATTGCAGTCCAGGTTTATAAGGACGTCCTCTCTGAGGATACACCCAAAGGGACCCTGGTGGCAATTGTCACTGCAGAAACACAAAGAAATGCACCAGTGTCTTTCTATCTGGCCTCTGGAAACTTTGGGGAGGTTTTTGAGCTTCACCACAGCACTGGTGAGCTGACTGTCAAGGATCCCTTAGATTTTGAAAGCAACATGCATTTTCATCTAGTAGTTGAAGCCAGAGACTCAGGGATACCGCCTTTTTCATCATATGCTGAACTTAATTTGAATATCAGTGACGTAAATGATAACCCACCGGTGTTCTCGCAAAACATCCACAAATGTGAAGTGTATGAGAACTTGGCTTCAAGTAGGGTGTGTAATGTGTTAGCAACTGATTCCGACTCTGGAGTGTTCGCAGAGGTGGAGTATTTCATTTTGGCTGGTAACATTGAGGGTGCATTTAAAATAGACAAAATTCGTGGCATTCTTTCCACAACAAAACGTTTGGATCGAGAAAAAATACAATATTATAATCTTACCGTCAAGGCCATTGATAAAGAAAACAACAGTCTTTCAGCCATTGCAGCGGTTATCGTTGTAGTTCTTGACACAAATGATCATGCACCTCGTTTCTCACAGATTTTCATCACAGAGGTTCCTGAGGATGCTCCTCTTGGCTTTTCAGTCATTCAGATAAGTGCTACAGATGAAGATGTTGGTCTAAATGCTGTCATTGAATATACAATCATCGGCAAAAATAGTGAGTTCCCATTTAGTATTGATAAAACCACGGGCATTTTACTAGTACTGCATCCTTTGGACAGAGAAGATCAAGATCATTATATAGTAAAGGTTAACGCCAATGATTCTGCTTGGAGCATCAGCACAGACGTCACCATAGACATTACAGATGTCAACGACAACACACCGATCTTCTATCAACCGCGTTACACTCTCACTGTTCCTGAGATGAAGATGCATGAAGTTTTCCTTCTACAAATTAGTGCTACTGACAGGGATCTTGGTGAGAATGCCCAAATCCTCTACTTCATTGACCCACCAAATGAACTTTTTTTGGTTAATGCATCAACTGGGGAAATTTCAACCAAACAGCCCATTGTTCTCCATGAATCTGAATCTGTAAATTTGACTTTCACAGTTGTGGCGTCTGACTGTGGCAGTGTTCCTTTGAACAGCTCTAGCATTGTTTCAGTGACATTAGTACGGCATAATCTGTTCCCACCCTCGTTTTTACCCTTCAGGCCTTTAGTACCAGTCCCTTTAACCCTGGATGTTGGAACAGAAGTGATCCAAATATCTGCTGTAGATCAAGATTCTCTTGAAAGGAACAACAGTGTTGAGTACTTCAATAGTGGTGGCAATGGATCTCTTTATTTTGAGGTAGAACATAACAGCGGAAGAGTGCTGGTAAATAAAACTTTAGCAAATAGCCTTAGCACCATCCTAACACTTCAAATCACTGCCAAAGATAAAGGCCTTCCTCCTTTTTCTGCACAGACTGAAATCAGTTTTGAAGTTACACATAAGAACCTTTTTGCACCTCGTTTTCTTAACAGAAAAGTGGAGTTTTTTGTTCCGGAAGATTTGCCCATTGGTTCAGTTATTGGAAAAATCCAAGGCAAAGATATAGATGTTGGCATCAATGGTGTTATTTCCTATTCTTTTGATGGTGGGAATGATGAAAATGGATTGTTTTCCATTGGACAATCTTCAGGATTGATAATGCTGGTTAAAGCACTTGACTTTGAGGAATTCGAAACTCACCATCTAAACGTCATTGCCGAGGATGGAGGCTGGCGTCCCAAGATGGAGAGACTTAATATCACAGTATATGTAACAGACTTAAATGATAACCCTCCTGTATTTACATCCACAAATTACATTGCCACTGTTTCAGAAAATGCTTTAATTGGTACCTCAGTTTTGCAGGTTTGGGCGAAGGATGCTGACACAGGAATTCACTCCCAAATCACATATTCGCTTATTGCAGGAGACATCCTTCTCTTCTATTTGGACACCAAAAATGGCACAATCACCACTTCAGAGATATTTGATTATGAGCAAAAACAGCATTTCGAACTTACAGTCAAGGCCACCAACATCGGCTTTCCATATTTGTTTGATATTGTCCGTATACGCATCCAGATCGCTGGCCTCAATGAATTCATCCCTGCTTTCCAAAGAAATATATATAACTTCACAGTGTCGGAGGCTTTGCCAACACAAACAGAAATAGGAAGGGTTGTTGCCATAGACTATGACCAAGGGCCTGATGGAGAAGTGTTTTATGTGCTTGCAGGACAAAGTAAAAAAGCTAATTTTGTGGTGGACGAGCATACGGGAATAATATATATCTCGAAAGATTTGAAAAATCGCCTCCAAAATGATGAAGTCCTACAGGTGCTGGCAAAAAACAGAGGGGCCATTACAGAATTTAATGTTGATGAGGCATTGATACATCTACACATACTAGATGAAAACGATCCACCTAAGTTTGATTCAATGCTTTACACCGCAGCAGTGTCAGAGGACATCTTGATTGGGACCTCCATAACTAAAGTCAAAGCGGTGGACCGGGATGTGATCCTAGAATGGAGCAGGTTCTCTTATAGCATTGAACATGGAAATATCAATAGTTCCTTCATTATAGATCCCGTCAGTGGGGTCATTTCAGTTAACAGTCACCTGGATAGAGAAATGTGGGCATTCTATAACCTGACGGTCATTGCTGTTGACGAGGGCTCTCCTGCTGTAACCGGAAGCACAAAGGTAGCTATCGCCATCTCTGATGTCAATGACAATCCTCCCAAGCTGCTGACCACAGAAGGGTTTATTCGAGAAAACCAACCTGCTGGCACTCTGGTCTCCACCTTAGCAGCCACAGATGATGATCTTCCTCCAAATCAAGGTCCTTTCACGTACTGGATGATGAGACCTGCTGAGGGGTTTTCACTCTCATCTGATGGCGTTCTTCTTACCTCAAGACCATTTGATCGGGAGCGAAACCCTCTTTTTCATTCACATATTGTGGTTCAAGATGCTGGTAGGCCACCAATGTCTTCCACCACTTTGTTTCATGTTAAAGTTCTTGATGAAAATGACAATGCACCGCTCCAGAGAAACATTAATATATTGGTGAAATATTATGGAATCTCCTTCCCAGGAGGACTAATCGGAAATGTAAGACCATCTGATCAGGACGAACTGGATGTGTTTAATTGTACAATCAAAAACGGGCCACTTAGGATGTTTAGTTTCCCATTCGGGATGTGTAATTTGTGGTCCTCCCCTTACCAAGGAGAGGCAACATATAATATTTCAGTTGAAGGGAGTGACCAACTCCATTCTTCGGTCAACAACAGCATCTACGTCAATTACAAAGGCTTTACCAATGTCTCTCTGGACAATTGTGTGTTGTTCTACATTTCTATATCAACTCTTGAGGAATTTCTGTCTTTGAAGTATTTAAAATTTGTCAAAGCTTTGGATAGCCTCTTTAACCTGAGAGCATCCAAAACACATGTGTTTGGAATGAAATTGCAAGGAGATAAAATGTTGCTTCTTGCTGCAGTGAAAAGCTATAATGGTCAGTATCTAACTGGAGAGGTGGCAAGCGGAATATCAAACATACATAAAAAGTTACTGGAAGCACAAAGCAATGTGACTATATCCCAAATAACCAGCGACCCCTGTATGCTCCGTCCTTGCCATAACGGTGCCACCTGCAACAGAAACATTCACATCAGTCAGGAAGTTGCTGTGTTGGAAAGCTCTAGTCTTATATTTGTATCTCCATATTTTGTGGAGATCTTTAACTGCTCTTGTCGAGCAGGCTTTATAGGTGATGCATGTGAGCTAGACTTTGATGAATGTGCCAAGGAGCCTTGCAAAAATGGGGGAAACTGCTATAACAATCCAGGAACTTTTTTTTGTCAATGCAAAGATGGATTCTCAGGACCACACTGTATTATAGTTGATAATGAATGTCAAACGGTAATTTGTTTAAATGGAGGAACATGCTGGAACAGACAGGGAGGGTTCATCTGTGATTGCAGCCCAGGCTATGAAGGTATGGTCATATAACTTATGCAATAAATCACTTTTTTGTGTATGTATATCTAATTTTATTGATTGGTTGTAAATTAATTAACCACATATTTTTGTCACAGGAACATTTTGTGATCATATTGTTGACCACTGTGCTTCCTCCCCTTGTGTATATGGAAACTGCTCCAGTTTTTTAACAGGTTACTCTTGCCAATGTCCATTTGGTAAGCAGAACTTTTCTGTCTGCATTTATTTTATATGTTCTTATATGATTCAGTTTGTGTCTTGATTTTGTGATATTGCGCATAGGCACATATTTGAAATATTGAGTTATTTTTTAATTGTAAAATTAATAAAATGTGTTGTTGTTTATCATTCAATTGTTTATTTATTATATCCCATATTTTAAATCTGTAATTAAATTCAATGTATTTTTTATTATCACTATATTAAAATTATATTATTTATATAATAATGTATTTAGCTCAATTATTATTTGTGTATATTAAATATAATATATTTATATATAATACATATTTAATAATACAATTTATACATTTTATTTAATATCATTTTAAAATAGAAAATTATGAATAGTGCATATTTCATTACTGAATTCAGTTTATTAATTATTATGCTAATTTTAAAATATATATTTCTGATTATGTCTGACATTCCTATTTATTGTTAGGTGTGAGCGGAGTCGATTGTGAAAAGCACAGTTATGGCTTTCAGGAACTTTCTTATATAGAATTTCCTCCATTGGATCCACAGTATAACTTCATCTATTTGGAATTTGCGACTGTTCAGCAAAGCGCTTTGCTTTTGTTCAACCATGGTGGCCCATCAACTTCAGACTTCCTGGCCCTTGAAATAGTGAGTGGAAGACTGTGCCTGTCTTATGATCTTGGATCTGGAGTCATAAGATTGGAAACAGGCAAGATAGTGGCTGATGGAAGTTTTCACAACATCACCGTAAGAAGAACTGGAAATGTACGTGATTCCCATACATGATTATTTTTCAGTCTTAGGAATCAATCAAGCCAATTTTTTTAAAGATTTATGAGATATTTTGCAGGTGTACATGCTTTTGTGTCTCTCAGATAGCCTCTCTAGAAATAGACAACTGCTCTGCCCATGAACCTCAAGGCTTTTGCTTGCTGCAAAATGGTGCCACTGGAACCCAAAGGTAGTATTTAGTTTAATCTCACCATTTTGTTGCAGATTAAACATACTATTACACATAATTACAAACTGCTATTATTTGTTTATGTAAGTGAACTCATGTAACTGAACCTTTAAATTACATTTACAAACAGGACTCTGGAAGTGAGCTCAAATAACATCACGTTTGGTGGCGTAAAGTCCATTGATGTCATTTTACAGAGGCAAATCAGGACTCATGACTTTGTTGGCTGTATGAGAAACATGCAAGTGAACAACTTCAGTCCAGATTCCTTAAAATCTTTGGCATCCCAGAATGTTCTTAATCGGTCAGTTTCAAAAGAATCTTTGTAACTAAAATGTTTTTCTATTATAATGCAATGTTTCAGTTGATTTCTTTTTGATGATCAGATGTCCACGAGGAGATATTCCCCCATGTGAAACCGCAGTGTGTTTGAAAGAAGGAGTTTGTCAAGACCGATGGTTTCACCATCGCTGCCAGTGTAGAGACCATTTCACAGGACCCAACTGTGCCATGAGTAATTTCATTCATATCTGTTTTAATGTGATAGTTCAACGTTTAAATTCATAAAGTGAATGTAATTCTTTCTAATAGATTTGGCTGGGCAGAATGTACTGTTTCTAAATGGGGAGGCCTACATTGAGTTTGCTGTCAAGGAAATCTACAGAAGAAACCAGCTTCTCCAAGCCATTCTGGATGGGAAGGAAGGAGACTCTCAGGGATTTCACAGTGTTGAGATCAAGATGAGGACTGTCAGAACAAATGGTGTTTTGGTTGTGTGCTGGTGTCAAACCGCTCATCTAAAACTTAAGGTGAGCTCTGAGAGAATTTTAAAGGAATATTCGATACAAATTAATCTCAATTGATAGTGTTTGCAGCATAACGTTGATTACAGCAAAAAATCATTTAAACTTAAAAAAAATCGACATTACAGTGAGGCACTTATTATGAAAGTAAATGATGACAGTTTTTTTAAAGCAGAAATGTGAAGCTTACATTGTTATAAAAGCACTTATGTTAATTCTTCTATTAATTGTGTTAAATCTTATGTATTATTTAAGCAATAAAGTTGTTCATACCCTTTTTAAATTCATTTTGGAGTTTTAACCATGTCCTGGCAACAAAATTGTAAAACTGAATACAAAAAAAAAATCGACATTACAGTGAGGCACTTATTATGAAAGTAAATGATGACAGTTTTTTTAAAGCAGAAATGTGAAGCTTACATTGTTATAAAAGCACTTATGTTAATTCTTCTATTAATTGTGTTAAATCTTATGTATTATTTAAGCAATAAAGTTGTTCATGCCCTTTTTAAATTCATTTTGGAGTTTTAACCATGTCCTGGCAACAAAATTGTAAAACTGAATACAAATTTAGGCAAAGGCAAGTCTATTTTCTTCTATTCTAAGTGCCTTTGTTTTTATAAAGAAAAGGAGGGACCAATTAAGATTATTTTTGGTGGCAATCAACATGATGGCAAAAATGCTGTTGAGTATGGCTAGCTTTTGTTGAAATCAGAATATTCATTTAATAATTTATATTTAATAACTTATCCGTTTCTTATTTAATACAACAGTAAACGCCTACTAAACACCTTCGATTAAACTCAAATCAACAATATCTGAACTACTTTGTCAGTGTTGTCTGATAAATCTGCTAGTTCATAACATGTTTTCTCTTGCCTCCTCAGATATCAGATGGAAAACCTCTGTATGTGTTCACCAATGTCACATCTGGTCAGCGGCTAGAACTCTCAATGGAGGGAAATTTATCCGATGGACAGTGGCATGTTCTTCAGCTGCGCAGAAGAGGCTCATACATCTCTCTGTTTCTGGATGAACGGCCTGTTGTGAACACCACCAATGGCACCATAACTCACTCCGCATTCTTAGTGGAGACCATTTTTCTGGGCTCTGCTCCACTGAGAGAGTCCAAAGATGTCCCAGAGATGATCCAAAACTTAGGTTAGATTACCCACCTACTAAACACCTTCGATTAAACTCAAATCAACAATATCTGAACTACTTTGTCAGTGTTGTCTGATAAATCTGCTAGTTCAGTTCATAACATGTTTTCTCTTGCCTCCTCAGATATCAGATGGAAAACCTCTGTATGTGTTCACCAATGTCACATCTGGTCAGCGGCTAGAGCTCTCAATGGAGGGAAATTTATCCGATGGACAGTGGCATGTTCTTCAGCTGCGCAGAAGAGGCTCATACATCTCTCTGTTTCTGGATGAACGGCCTGTTGTGAACACCACCAATGGCACCATAACTCACTCCGCATTCTTAGTGGAGACCATTTTTCTGGGCTCTGCTCCACTGAGAGAGTCCAAAGATGTCCCAGAGATGATCCAAAACTTAGGTTAGATTACCCCTGATTTTTTGTTTAGTTGGTTATACAGTACTGCACTTTTTATTGTCAAAAGCAGGGTTATTATTAAACAGAATTTGAACATTGATTTATTTTTTTATATTATGTTGCAAAATGGAATTATGAAACCAATTTGATTCAGCTATAAACAGCTCTTTTAATTAGTTTTCATAACCAATTTAACCTTTTATTAAAATTGCCAACTTAGACATTGATCATAAAAACTTTATATATTGTTGCTTATGTTGCTTTTCTTGGTTTTCCAGGTTTCAGAGGGTGTGTGGAATACATCAAATTCAACGGTCACCTCCTGTCCTTCAATGGCTACAATGAGATAGTCGATGCCAGCTCCAGCCCACCTGTCTTCCAAACCTTCTGTGTATCTCCAAACCACTGCGTTCTGACTCCATGTCTAAAGGATTCCTGTCTATCTGAGCCCTGCTGGAATGATAGTGACTGTGGATCTTCTTCCAAAGACGACTACTGGTGCATCTGTCTGCACAATGTGTCTTCGTGTGGATCTTGCTCATCTGATGTCGTCCACAGCGAGGCCTGTTCTCAAACCCAAAAGAGCGTCCCCTTATGGATTGTAGCAGTCATTCTTCCCATTGCCCTCATTCTTCTGATCCTAGTTCTCTGTATTGTCCTCAGAAGACAAGGCAAAAGCTGTGAGGGTGAAAAGAGGAGTCAAATCTACCTCATGCCTCCAAGCAAACAGCATGGCACGGATAACCTGGCATTTAGTTTAGGCCCTGCTGATGAGTCTTCTCGGAATGTCTCAAATGAAGCCTGCAAGCAACCAGATGTGATAAAACCTAGGGATTCTATGCAAGGAGTGGAAAGCTATCCTGAAAGTGGCCCTTCTTGTCATGTCTCAGGTTTTGGAGGGAGTGAACTGGAGTACTATGAGATTGACAGCGCATACTCGGATGTGAAGACCCTACAGCTGAAGACGGAGGATGAACGTGGAGATCAGGTGAATGGCAATCCAAAAGTTTCTCAATCCAACATGCAACCTCAAACGAATCATAATCCATCTCCTAAACTTCATCAGAGAACATCTGGAGGTGATTTTCACCAGTGGCAACGTCAATCCCAACTGTTCTTCAAGAGAAAACTGGATCCTGATCTGACAGACCCTCCACAACATCTCTCAGCAGATGAGGTTGAGAAACTGAACACCCCACGGGACCACAAGGGATTCCCACATCAGAATTTCAGAGAGTGTCCCATAAAGCCATGCAGAGATGGGCCAGTAGAGACATCATCAGAGAGTGAAAGTCACTGCTCCTTCACCGGCTCAGAGTTTGACTGTGAGAGAGAACTGTCACTCATCAGCTCACATGACAAAGATGAACATCCACCTGAAGGCAAGGACACATGTGCAGTTTTATAATCTTACACCTAAATTAAACGTTTATAAAAATAGGGTGAATATTGGTTTGACCCTTTAGTTATAATATTCAGAAATCCCATATATATATATATATATATATATATATATATACACACACACACACACACACACACAGTATATACACTAAATTAAACTTAATTTTTGTTTTAACTTTTTTAAATTAAACTTAAATGTAAAAATTGAACAAATTAAGTTATTTTTTGTTCATTGTTCATTTAGTTAATTACATTTTTTCAAATTCACATGGGTCAGGATTAAATTAGTTACTTTTTTCAGAGTAAATATTGATTAATCAGCAGATCATCCAACTGACAGCTTTATTTTTATTATCTCTCTATGCTAGAGAAAAATGTGCAAACCAAACAAAAGGTTAAGTTTTTAATCTAGTTAATCACAACACTGCACTGAATGAATAGTGACATCTTGTGGTTGGACCAAATGAAGAACATTTTTTATAATATTAATAATAAACAAGTAGCTCTTCTGGAGTTTCTTCGTTTAATTTCTGTCCACCATCAGAGCCTTCCAAATTTCACACTGTGTTTAAGGAAACAAAAGACCTTTACTTTCTTACCTTATGATACTCCCCCCACCCCACTGTTTCAGCTGCAGATTGGTCCAGAGGACAGTTTATTCTGATAGCCCCTTCACCCTTCAGAGATGTGGTCACATCCCCCTCTGTCCAGAGTCTTCCAAACACCTCAGTCTCCGGCGGGATCCAGCAGCTTGAGAATCTCCTTAATCTAGGAGTTCATTTTAACACCTATGCGGATGTGTTTGAGGACATAGCCAGCTTACCGACCCATCAGCCAAATCACTGCGATTTTCAGAGTGATCAAGAGGAAATCATTTGAAAGAATGTTAAAAACAAGGTACACAGTTAATTTATCATTCATGTACTTTAAATCACTGACCAAAACTGTGCCAGTGAAATGCTGGTGAATCATTCCTTTCATAAGAACATTAATAAAAGTGTAAAAATACTATTTATAATGTATGGAAGACATATGTTCAAGCACATAATAAATTTACCAATAGTGACTTAATCATCAATATAGTTTATATCTTTATGTAAAACAGCGTTTGAGGAGCATAGAAATTTAGTAATCCATCTGTTGTCAGATCTTTAACTTTTGCATCTGTTTATATCCTACACTTTCAGTTCATGACTGATTCTACCGTTTTTATGGAGCTGAACTATGAATTTTGTAATCATTAAAATTTCAAATATGAGGTGAATTGTGTTTTTATACTGAACGAAATTTGTTGTACCTGGGCATTTGTTTGCTATACATTTTATGTAATGCATATATTTTGAAAATGAAGACAACAAGGGCACTTTGAACTCTTAAAACTACTTTAAAACTTTACATTTTAAAGGCACAGTGTAATCATTCAGAGAAATGAGGATCCCACCATTCCTTATAGTTTGAATGAAACTAATTTATTATATTACATTTTTAATGTATTAGTTATTTATCAAAGGAATTTTTGTTGCTTAGGACTGCACAATTTAGGACACATTAAGCAGCTATAGTCAAAGATGATTTATTTAATCAACAGATTACAGTATTAATGAATAAAATATGATGTCTTGGAAAAATTACTGTAAAGAGTGATTTGTTGTCATTGCTAATTATATTTTTGGTTCTTTATTAGGCAATAAAAATGGTCAATAAATGGTTAAAAATGCAACAAAATATGTAATATGCCCTTACTATGCAACATTTGATCATAATACGCATTATATACAACATGTTAGGTATACAGGTTCATTAAGCATATATCTTTGTCTCAACATGAAGATGCTTTCAGCTGAAGGTTAACTTTTTTCCCTCTCATTCTTTTCATGAAGACGGCCTTGATTTCCTGAGTTCTCAAACAGTAAATCATTGGGTTCACAACAGGTGGGAGAATACTGTACCACATAACAAGCACAATCCGAACACCTGTAGGTATTTCGGTGGTTACGTCACATATATACACAGTACATCTAGGCAAAAAGTAAAGGCATATGATTGAAAGCTGAGGGGTGCATGTCAAAAATGTTTTAAATCGGGCCTGAACACTTGAGAGTTTGAAAACAGATCTGATGATGGCAATGTAGGAAAATATGATTAATATAAGAGGGCCTAAAAGAACAAACAAGGATACAGCTAGAGCATTTCTCCTCAGCTCAGTCTTATCTCCGCAGCCAATTTTAGCTAATGAATTGAAATCACAGAAACATTGATTTATTACGTTTGTTGTGCAAAAGGGAAGTTTTTCAGTTTGATAAGTAAGTAATGGTAGAAATCCTAAAATAAACAGCCAACACACTGTGCACGCATATGCAATATGCTGGTTTGTGATAACAGCAGGATATCGAAGTGGGTAGCATACTGCAACAAACCGATCCAGGGCCATTAATAGTAAAATAAAAGAATTAACTGTCCCTAAGTAATGACCAAAAAACATTTGCACTAAACATAAATGAAATGGTACATAATCATCTTTAGCAAGATACTTTGCAGCTGCTCTGGGCAATGTGATGGTTCCAAACAAAAGATCACACACTGCAAGATTACAGAAGATCAAGTAGGTGGGTTTATGAAGGCTTCTCTCATAAACAATAAATGAAATGATTGAAATGTTTCCGCTTGCCAGTATTACATAGACAAAGAGTAAAAAGGTCCCCACAGCCCCATAATACTGTGAATGAAGTCCTGGAAATCCCAGCAGGTAGAATTCAGTGATCTGAGAGAAGTTGGTGACTGCCATTGCTCCAAAAATCCCTCAGAAACCACCTAGTCTTTTACTATAAACAGGAAAAAAAGCAAAAACATCAACAGCAAAGTATCATATGCAAAGATAATTATTTCATAAGGCTATGATATGGGTAGTCAATAATGAAATGAATTCTTTAGCCTGTATGGCTTCATAAATATCGCAGAGTAACCTTACATTTGGAAGGAGTGAAACTCTTCTGTCCAATGCACCTCTATACTAACAGAAATGTATTGACTCATCAGCATATGAACTCTTCCCTTGGTCACGAGAGACACGTCATACTGTATGTTTTGGGCTCTTTAAATATACAGTCATATTTTAAATATGTTACTATGCTAAATGGACAATGCAAATATATTTATTTGTATGCAACATGGTGACTTTGGTTATGTTGCCAACACCAAACACTTCCAGTGAAATAAAGGCAAATTTAAAATGCCATTTGTGCACTCTTGAAGGCAAAGGGACAATCCAAGGGTTGTTCCAAAATGAAATGGAGTAACTGAATATCTTCACAAAGATATGCCAATGCCATTCATTTTAGGAATCTTACTTTCATGATCATGTGATTTCGTCACTCATTGTAAAAAACCTGGGGTATATTATTTTCCCCCCTTTTTTATGCATATTCCATAAAACTTGAAGAATATACTTGTGAAATGAGTTTCCCCATGGCAGGCTTTATTTAGGCTATATTTTAATGATATATTTGAAATGCACATGAACACAGTTTAGTTTGCCAGCATGGTATTATTACTCATCCATCTTTGTGACTGCGAATGTAGACTACATTCTGGTGTTTTGTCAATATTCAAATTAAATAACTATGAATCATTCCAAAATAATTGGTTTGTTTGAATCGACTCCAAAATGACATGATAATTTGGGGCACATCATGCAAAGGGTAGCTACCTTCCTACATGCTTTTGTAGCGTCTGCGTAGGATCCTTTGAAGAATATACTTGTGAAATGCGTTTCCCCATGGCAGGCTTTATTTAGGCTATATTTTAATGATATATTTGAAATGCACATGAACACATTAGTTTAGTTTGCCAGCATGGTATTATTACTCATCCATCTTTGTGACTGCGAATGTAGACTACATTCTGGTGTTTTGTCAATATTCAAATTAAATAACTATGAATCATTCCAAAATAATTGGTTTGTTTGAATCGACTCCAAAATGACATGATAATTTGGGGCACATCATGCAAAGGGTAGCTACCTTCCTACATGCTTTGAAGTCACACAAAATGCATAACGTCAGTGTCACGGTGCGTGTGGAGAGATGAAGCGAGGACTCAAGTGCAGTATTAATGGTTCTTTCTTTTAATAATAAAATGAAACAAAAACAAACTAAAAACAACCCCGAGGGGGAAAAACAGACAAGCAGGCTAGGAACTGCACTGCATGCAGACATAACACACACAATGAAAAACGACGGATCAGCACAGGACTACAGACACCAGGAAAATAAATAGGAAACCAAATGAGGAGGCTAGCCAGGGAGACACAGGTGGAGCAACTCAAACAATAATGAAGTAACAAGATGGGCGGGGCAAGACAATAGACCATGGCAACAAACAAACACAACACAAGCCATGTGCTCACAGAACACAGTGTCCTCTGGTGGCCATCCTGGGCACAGCCGCTGAAGACTGTGAAAGTCAGGCAGAAACTATATGGCAGTCAGAGAAAAACGAAGAAGATCCACATCAGAAGTCCACACTGATAGCAATGGTACTCCATTAATTCAGACAAGTATTACTATCATAAAATTATAGTACTCAGACAGAAAAATTGTTCTTGTAAGTAAAACAAGGGCAAGGGCCTTTAGAACATTGTTATATTTGATTTTTACTTTGTCTATTATCTATTATCCTTTTAACTGCATCTTAGCCTGTTATAGCACACAATAGTCTAGAATATTTAATAACAACCCCGAGGGGGAAAAACAGACAAGCAGGCTAGGAACTGCACTGCATGCAGACATAACACACACAATGAAAAACGATGGATCAGCACAGGACTACAGACACCAGGAAAATAAATAGGAAACCAAATGAGGAGGCTAGCCAGGGAGACACAGGTGGAGCAACTCAAACAATAATGAAGTAACAAGATGGGCGGGGCAAGACCACTAATATGCATCATAATATTTTTTGAGTGTGTATAGTGTAAACAACACAACACTGAAATATTTTAGGCTCTGCCTAACAGCATGGTCCTCTGCATGCTAAGTTGTCTCTATCTCATTTTCCTCCTTTATGCATCTTTGATCTCTTTGGTTCTGAAGCAGTATATCATTGGATTGACAACAGGTGGGAGCAGACTGTACCACATAGTTAACATAATCCGAAGGTCAGGAGTGAATGTAGCTGTCAAATCAAGTGTATAGACAGCACATCTGGGGACATAATACAGAAAAACAATAAAAAGCTGAGGAATGCAAGTTGATCATGTTTTATACTCTGGTGGCCATCCTGGGCACAGCCGCTGAAGACTGTGAAAGTCAGGCAGAAACTATATGGCAGTCAGAGAAAAACGAAGAAGATCCACATCAGAAGTCCACACTGATAGCAATGGTACTCCATTAATTCAGACAAGTATTACTATCATAAAATTATAGTACTCAGACAGAAAAATTGTTCTTGTAAGTAAAACAAGGGCAAGGGCCTTTAGAACATTGTTATATTTGATTTTTACTTTGTCTATTATCTATTATCCTTTTAACTGCATCTTAGCCTGTTATAGCACACAATAGTCTAGAATATTTAATATTTCTCATTCATTTTATATATTTTCTTAGTTATGTTTTTAATAAACTAAAGAAATAAACGTTCTAGTCATTTCCAAGTTCAAATGAATGGCAAGAAACAATCCAGGAAAAGGATTACATGGTAAACATTTATACCGTTTTGCAAAAGAAATGAAAGAAATAAATATTTGGATTGTATGTGAAGTATAGATATTTTCAGTTTTATATATTTTCAGAGATTCATCGCCACAGACAAAAGAACATCAAAACAGCCCATGAAGTTAATTACATCACAAATGCCTTTGTAAAAATAATGATTTATTTATTGACATTAGTCTTATCAGAAGATTCACAGACAGAATAATACGGTAATGAAATATGTGTCAAATAAAATGGTACACTCTCAGAAAAATTAGTCAAAGGTTGTGATTGGTTTAGTACCTTTTCAAAAGGTAC